AGGTCCTTGTCTCATGTGACATTCAAAAATGTAATCATTCCTGGTTAGAGCTGAAGCTGACTCTGTGGGGAGAAGCAGGGAGTTGGCATGTTCAAACTGAGGTGAGGACTCCCTGAGCTCACACCTCTGCGGGTTGATGTGCAGCACATGCAAGGCTGCATCCTGTGATCAGCTTTTCCAGATCCCTTAGTTTGTGAATTCCCAACATCCAGCAGGTCACAGGCTGCAGTTGGTGGGAGGTTAGGATCTCCAGGCTTCACTGGCAAATTGGCAGTGTGATAGGCAAGTAGCAAACTAAAGCACAGGCCTCACTGGCCTCTTCCTCTCTGCCTGAGCTATAATATTTTTCTTGCAGCCACAAGCAAAGAGGTGGTTTATGTACCAGGCAGGAGCTTTGTGCAACGTGGTTAGGAGCCTTCCAGGGCTTGGTTCCACCTTACCTTCCTGGGGTGCCTTGAAATGAAATTGTAAACTCTGATTCTAGTATGCATACATGTCAAAGGAGAGCAGAATGTAATTTTGAAGCAGAAGGTATTAGGGCTCATTGTACATGAATTTGGTGCCTGCATGGATGCACAGCCACAAACCATTGCAAAGAGTCAAACAATTATGAGCAGAGAAGCTAGAAGGGGATTTTGTGACAGTTACCCAAATGTAAGCCAGGGAACACATTTCTGACAGAAATTATGCTTGAAAGATTTGGACTAGGTGATGAGCTGGATAAAACTCTCATTTCTCAGCAGATGTTGTATTGTCAGTTACAAGCAGAGATGCTGAAACATCCAGACCTGGTCATGGTGAGAAAACACAAGCAATATTTCACGTAATATATGAATAAAAGTTGTGTACTCAAACACCACTTTAAGAGCTCGCTGAAACTGTTAGACTTATATGGTAATTATTTTGTCACTTTTGGATGATCTTTTAAGGAAGGATCCTGCCCCTAAAGAGAACTGATTACCTGCTGAAACGTAACATCCCGCTATCAATCCTTTTCCCTGACAACCCTAATCCTGCTCTGTCTGGTGTGGGCTGCATGCTGCAGCAGGAGCTACAAACCCGAGAGCTGTATGCTGGAAATCTTTGGGATGCTGATGAACAGAGTCATGGGTGGTATTATTTAGACGTCCTTGTAAACAAACAAATATGGCTGATCAAAGCTGGACGGCCACAGAGGTGTCTGCCTCCCTCTGCACACTCCACCTTTTGCCTGGCAGTTGTGGGGATATCAGGTTTCTCAAAAGGCCAGGTTGGAATGTCTCAGGAGTTGCTTCACATGCGATTCAGCTCCTGGTGACAGGGACATAGCAAATCTGGAGGAAGGCTGCCCCACCACGGTGTGATATTCATGTCATTTGGTGGGATGCTTAAGTCCAGCTGTCAGCAAATGCCCATCCTGCAGATCTGCCTGCCAGCTCAGAGAACTGGATTGCCTACTGACACAAAGGGGCTGGCACACAAACACACTCGACTGATCAACACATCTCACTGTGTGTATTTCAGGTGCACCAGCTGCAAAATCAAGCTTGCACAGCAGCAGTTTCTTAGAGACTATGCAGCCATCTAGTGTTATTGCATACACAGCATGCTGGTTACTTGCCAATCGCCAGACACCTCCCTATTTTTCCTACACCTCTCTCAGCTTGAGGTATAACTTTTAGTTACAGGAGTTTTAGTTAAACTTGCCAATCCACTGGACTTGATCCCTGAAATTTCTGACCACCTGAAGATTGTGCTCGTGGATGGAGAATAGAATCCTGCTTAGTATTTCTTTTATTTCTAGTATTTCTTTTATTCATAACGTTTGTTGCTGTGAAAAAGAGTAATCAGTCTCCTTGGCTTCTACTACTGTGCTTTAGCAGTCTTTAATTCTTAAGGAAACAAACAACAACAATGGAAAAAAGGAGGAAAAAAAAAAAACCCTTTTAAATTTGAACATCAGTGAGCAAATGCCAGAGATCTACTGCTATCTGCTGGAGTGCTTTGGAGACTTTCTCATTTTATCTTGGTACAGATATTGAGAGGGAATAAGACAAAGACAAAATAGCCTGAATTTGTATGTCTCACTTTTCTCATCTAAAGAAAACCATCTTGTTTCAAAGTCCCAGCTTCCTCTTTGGTCATCCAGCAGACAAGGCCATTAGTACAAGGAACTACTTTTATAGTTTGTAGTAAATTAATTAGGCAATCTGCAGGCAAGGAGCATGATGAAATGACACACATTCTTGTACTGCATACCAGAATGACAAGTAAAATTCAAAGGTGACAACCCAGGGTTACTGTGACTTGGCAGCAACCACTTGGCCAACCTGAGAACAGAAACATCTTTGTTTACAATCTGCATTTTTCTAACTCGTATCTGCTCTCTTGCATTGTAATTTCCCCCAGCTCCCTCTGTGCCACTAGGTTCATCTTTTTCTGCACCTTGCATTAGACTATAGAAGCGTCCAGGTGTGCTATGAAGGAATTCCATCTTCTGAAACAAAATCTGATGGATCAGTGACTTTCTGGTCCTGATTAATGAGATAACTAAATTTCTTCTGGATAGAAGCTACATGTTGCTACTTCTTTGCTTGGGCATAGCAGTGAATGAAGATTTTATGCCATGGGGACATATAAATTTTTGGATCCTGCTACACTTGTGGAAGGTGCTCTCAGCACTGCCCATTTAATATATTTTGCTGGAGAAATAGCCCTATTCCAAATTCCTAAAAATCTACCCCATGTACAATTTACTTAAGGACTGCCGTATTCCCCTTGTTACCTCAGGCTTTTAGTATCAAATACTGATGTCTCAGTCTTGAGAGCAGCTGGAGAGGAGCAGTGACAAGCAGCACATACTCATTCCACAGTAGTGGAATCTGGTGGATCTGGAGGAGGATGTTTGTTGACATCATCTTACCCACGTGTGCTAAGCCAGGCTAATTGGCCTTGTCTGCAAGACTGGACATGAATCTTTTGCACACTCCCCTTCTACGTGTCTGTTTATCTGTGGGATGTTAAAAACAGACAATGGTATGTGTCCAACAGGTTTCAACCACAACTGATTGATCTGATAGCATTTATCTGAAATATTTTTTTAAAGGATATGTTTTACAAAGCTTTCACTGCATCGTGTTTTGCGGGTGCTGGATATAAGAATGTCACCAAAGAACTGACTATTTACCTTACAATCAATTTTTTCCTGATGAAAAAAATAAACAGGGAAAATATTTTTAACAATAAACAGGGAAAATAATATTCTAGAGCCAAATTACAACTAGTTGAACACAGAAACACGCTGGAGCTCAGTATGGAAAACAGGAGCTCACAGAGCCCCTCTCCTGCTGCAGGGCATAGTGGGGGGTCCACGGGACACGGATGTGGATGCATCCACGGAAGCTGTGATGGGAGGGAGAATGAGAGTCCCTGCACAGCAGCACAGCCTCTCCCTGCGAAAATGAATGGCAATCGTGATGCTGAGCCACCCACAGGGAGCCACAATGCCACAGGCAAATCCCTTCCCATCCCAAATTGCTCGCAGACAAGGTGTTGGGCAGAGCAGGAAATGCCTGAAACAAAACTATGTCATTTAAGTGATAATCTGGGGTAAAGTGGAGTACGTGTGTCTCACAATTCTAAAAATGGCTTGAATGATGTTACAAAATAACACGTACTGACACAGGAGTGAGATGGAACATTTGTATTCTACTAGGTATTTTACTGAGATGTTTATTCTCTTTGGATAAGAACAATTTCTTGGAAGGAAAGATTTAATGGTGGTGGGGTTTTTTTTGGTTTTTTTTTTAAGTAGTAAAGGTGTTGTCATTCATTTCTCAGATAAAATCTTTACAATTTTCCAAAGTGCTCCTTAAATTCTAGTAGCATCTTCATCCGTGCTTCCTGCCTGCAACAGTGTTGAGAACCACAGCAGCCACCATCATATTCCAGTTTGGATGCCTTTCAGTGGTCATTTAGTTGATTTTTCTACTTTAATGTTACAGTTTTAAAAGCACTTTAGGTTTTACAGAATGAAAGGTGCCATGGAAAAAAAGGTTTGGTTTTTTTTTTTTTTTTTTTTTTGTTTATTCACTATGATGTCTTGAGAATATTTGCAAGTGAAGCAGAGGCTTGGAAAAGGTGCATTTGGTTGCCAACATGCCTATAAAATAACTTTATTTGGGATTAATAACATTACTCCCTGCTAACATTCCCTCAAATGGATGCAGAACCATCTCTAGTTAACCTCTGAACTATGGCTCGGAGAACAGAATCACTTTTCCATAAACCACATTATCCAGAATCGGCCTGTCAGGCTTTGGGAATGAGAAGAATGCCATCCACCTCAGTTATTCCTAGACTTGTTTGCCTTTCTTCGCTTCTTTTTTCCTCCCCCTTTGCAGGTCTCCTGGCGTAGGTCGCCATGTGCGTGCAGCAAGTTTAAAACAGTGATTAGTTTGACAAATAGGCGTAGACAATTACCAGCACAGCACCCGAAGCGATAAGCCCTGTTATTCTGACAGCTCGTGCGTTATTTACGCGGAGCGGCGCTCTGAACACTGGCAATGTTGACTGTAACGCAGCGCCGGGTTCGGGTTTCCCGCCGGCTGCGCTACGTGCGCTCCCGCGCGGGCTCCCAGCGCTCCGCTGCCCTCTCGTGGCACCGCCGGCAGCGCCCGGGCCGTGCGCGGGCCGGGCCGAGCCCAGCAGGCCGCGCCGTGCCCCGCTCCCCGCTGCCCGTGCAGCGCCGGGCACGGCTGAGGGAGCGGGGCCGAACACAGACCCCTCCGGCCGGGGGAGCCCCGGGTCACCGAGTGCAACCCGCGACCGAATACCGCCCGTCGGCTACACCACGGCACCAAGTGCCACACCCGGTCTTTGCACACACAGCTGCACGGAGAGTCACTCCATCGGCCGCCCTGGCAGCCCATTCCAAGGGGAACGGCGCGCCCGGGCCCCGCCGCGCCTGCCCGTGCCCGGAGCCTGCCAGGAGCCGACATGGCCGCGCGCGGGCCCGGCCGGCCGAGCGGGCGGCCTCGCGAGAACAGCGCCACCTCTCGCGCGGCTTGGGCAGCGCGCGGTTTTTGTTCTCGCGAGGCGGGCGGTGAGGCGGCGCGCGCGGGAGTGAGGCCGCGGCGGGGCAATGCCCGCTCGCAACTCGGGCAGCGGCAGCGGTGAGGGGCGGCCGGGGGCACGGCCGGGGGCACCGCGAGTAACCGTGCCTAACCGCCCGTTAATCGTTGCAGAACCGCTGGGAGCCGAGATGGGGGAGCAGGCAGAAGCGGTGGTGATCACGCCGGCCATGCTGAAGGAAGAGGAGCAGCTGGAGGCGGCGGGGCTGGAGCAGGAGCGGCAGATGCTGGAGAAGGTGAGGGGCGGCCCCGCGGCCTGCCGGCTGTGTCGGGGTGCCTGGGGGCCGGGGCCGTGCAGCTCCTTGGGTTTCAAAACAAACAAACGTGAGGAGCTGATAAAGACCGTGCTGTGGTGTATAAGCGCCTTTTGACCATCCACCGGGGGCCTTAATTTTTGTTTTTAAAGGCTAGCGGTGAACTCTTGCACTTAGGGAGAAGCCTCCTGCGTTTTATATGGATTGAAATTTGCGGAGGGAAGATTACGTCTTTAAGTCTGTCGTTCTGAGTCTAAAAATGTGAGGTATAATGCCTATAAAGTGAGCTGGTTTCAAAAAGGGCATTAAGTTCCCCTGTTTTGAATTTCTGTTTGAAACATTAAAGACAAAACTTTTCTGGTTTTGTTTCTCAAAGTGTACATAACACTTCTTTCCCTCTTTGGTTAAAACAAGCTCACCAGCCGAACGGCCTGGGTAGAGTTGTGCAGATCCTTTCCAGAATAAGCCTGGTTACGAGTTGATTTCAGTAGCAGGTATAGTTTATGCAGAAGTGATGAAGTAGCCTAGCTGAGAAAGCCCAGCTAACAAGGACCAGGTTTATGCCCGTCACTGCCTGGGTCACACAGTTGAGCGGGAGCTGCCTGTGACCTGGCATTGGTGCCAGGAGAAGCGAAGTGTGAGCAGACCGGGAGGCGATGTTGCGTTTGTGTACCTTGGTTTGCCTGTGTTACAGGAAATACAGAATGCTCCGGAGAAATGGTTCCTCCCACCGCAAGTGATGTCATCACTACTGTGCCCTTGCTGAGACAAACCTTGATGTTAAGCACTAGTTGATAGTAACCAGCCTGTTTTGGAGTGAGAACACGAGAGCATGGTGCTTCTAGACCCGTGCTGATCCCTTATGTAGTATTCTGGTAACATGATAATTTGTGTTGTGTTTCAGACATAAGGAAATAGAAGCTTGAAAGAACTGTTCTCTTGAATGCTTTTTGGGGAATTGTATTCTAAGGAATCACAGAATGGTTTGGGTTGGAAGGGACCTTAAAGATCTCGAGATGTTCAAGGAACTATGTAATAGACAAATTAGCTGATGGGGTTTTTTTCCCTATCTTAGGAATTGACATATTATTCTAAGGGCCTGAAAAGTACCAGCCTCTAAGGCCTGGAACTAATTTTGATTACTCTTTTTTCCTTACTCTAAGACTCTAACTAATATAAGACTCTAACTATAAATAAGACTCTAACTATAAATCCTAACTCTAAGAGTTAGGATTTATAAAGGTATGTTTTGATGACGCGCTATTTTGTGATACTGTAGTTAGAAAAGAGTATCGATTCTCCCAGAAGTCTCATAATATTCTTTGTTGCAAACAGTAAGTGATGATGTAGCATGTTGGAGCTTCAGGTATTCCTTGATTAGACTAGGAACTAAAAATTTGGAGGTAATACTTCTGGAAGGTAAAGAGGAAACCCCTTGTAGAGCAAATTTTCTCATTGCACAGGAACTATTGAGAAAAAGACTAAAAATTTTAGTTTCTTTCACAAGGACAACTTCTGTAACGATACTGTAATGTGGGGTTTTTTGTATTCTCCATTTCTTGAGGATCCACAGGGCTTACCTCTAGCAAGACTATAGCTCCACTGTCCTGTTTGCTTTATCACCTTTTCCCTGTGCAGAGGCCAGTCAGACCAAGGGGATTTGCTCCTGTAGTTACCACAGGCTTCCTGGGGGCAGCTTCTGTGTTTCCTGTGCTTGTCACTTCGGCAAACCCCCTGCCAGGTGATCTGTACAGCAGTTAAGCAAAGGAGTTGTCAGTTCTTTTTGAGGGTTAATGGTGAAATACCACTGTGCAAATACGTGTGAATGTAGTGTGGTGACCAAGAGTGGCAAGGTTTTGACCTTTTCAATCAAAAAGGGGAAAAAACCCGCTGTCATAAGGCTTTAAGGCTTGAGTCAAAAGGCACAGTGAGATGTCATTAAAGTGCTGTTCATCTTTGAGTTTTCTTTTTTCCTCTTGAAATTTTTGAAGTTGGTCGAGGAAACAGTCCTTCAGTTTGACCAAATAAGAATGCCGTGTTCATTCCTATAAAAAGTGAGCAATAGCAGTTTGCTGGAAAAGTAGGTTAGTTTTAATTATATTCTCTCTTGGCATTGCCATCAAGAGTTGATCTTTCTGAGCTCAGAACTTGTCATCTGAAGGTAGAACCTGGAGTAGGGAGAGCAGAAGCAAAGAAAACCAAGAATGCAATCTCTCCCCTAGAGAAATTGTGGGAATAGATCTTCCTCTCTTAAAAGAACAAGGTGATTGCTAGCTGGTTGGAATTACTTGGAGAAAATCAAGTTTTGATTTCTGGAGGGACGGACGTTCTTCCCCTTTTCAGTGTCTCACAGTGTGTCCCATGGTTCAGGAAATATCCCATTTCCTTACCAATTAGTGTATTTAGTTTCAGAAGAGTCCCTTGTTTTTCTGTGTCTTAGCGTGCCCTTCCCCTTGTGTTTCTTTTGAAGGCAGTGACATAGATAAGCATCTTGTAAAGCTCTGCGTCTTGTCTCTCTGGGTTTCTCTTGGAGATGCTAATTTAAAACTTTTCACTCTTTACAACTACTGTAGACAGGTGGGGGGGAAGGTCTGCCTCTTCCAGGTAACAAGCAAAAAGACAAGAGGAAACGTCCTCGAATTGAGCCAGGGGAAGTTTAGATGGGACATTCTTGGGAAATTTTCTTCACTGAAGGGGTGATCAAGCACTGAGACACTGCCTGGGGAAGCAGTGGAAGCAGCACTCAAAAAGCCGGAGATGTCGCACTTCTGAAGCATCCTTAGTGTAGTGGTTTAGTGGTAACTTGGCAGTGCTGCTTAATGCTTGGGCTCCATGATCTTGGGTCTTTTCCAAACTAAATGATTCTGTGACTTGTTTGGTATCTCGGTTTTGCAGGCAGTGTTAGATGAATGCAGAAGGGTGAATAGTTTTTACTTTTTGGGGGTGTCTTGATATGAGTTTTAAAGAGTAATTTGCAAACTTCTAAATGCACAGCCTTGACTAATTCAGCAGCAGTTGCTTTTAAAAGCATGTGTGGATTTTGTAAGCAAAGTGAGTAGAAGTTACTGTTTTCTTATTGGCAATTGACTTGAGCTATGTAAAACCGTATGACAGTTCTTCATGAAGAACAATATATACAGACAGTTACAAAACTAACTTGGTGTAAATGTACATGAAGGGATATAATAATACTAGGGAAACTGTTCTGAAATTTGTCAGGTAGGGTTTTTTCCCTCAAAAATTTTGCAGACTACAAATAAACCGAGATTTCATTTTGCTTTGGAGTTGAGGCATCTCTGAATCCTTGAATGCCGTGTGCTGCTGTACTGGGGGTGTGTACGGTGCATGTGCAAGTCAATGCAGCCCTCAGTTACTTCAGCCTTACAGCACTTCATAGCTACATGAGAGTCCATACAGTCACAAATCATAGGGTAGGATGGCTGAAAGGAAATGGGTCTGTGTGTGAGACACTTCAGAGTTAATGATTTTAACATAAGCAATGTTTTTTCAGTATAATCACAGTTGTATCTGTCAATGATTGACATGTCTTTTTGTTGGCCAGGCTCGCTCTTCTTGGGATAGGGAATCAAGTGAAATGCGCTATAAGAGGCTTCAACATTTGCTTGAAAAAAGCAACATCTATTCCAAATTCTTGCTAACCAAAATGGAACAGCAGCAGCTAGAGGTAGGTGTGTTCTTGTCTGCAGTGGGAATTCTTAAGGTGCTGTCTGTTTAGGGTTTTTTTCCATCCAACTGTTTGCAGTAAAAATGTTTTTAAGATTGCATTAGTAACATTAAAATCTACTGGAACCTAGTGCACAGGAATGACATGATGTTTTATGTAGTGTCCAGAATTTGTTCTATAAATTAAAAGATGAATCAGGCATGGAAGAACATGAATTATAATTTAAAATCACAGTGTAAAGATGGTATTGATGCCTTTACAGTTCTTTTGGCCTGAATACAAAGAAAGCAGAGTAAGTATTTCAAATAAGAATTGAAGTTTAAGGGAGCTAGAAAACATAGAGGGAGGATAGAAGGTGCAAAGAACTGACAAGTAGGAAGTTGAGTAGCCTGTTTGTGTTATTAACTGAAAGCTGAGGATGAGATGTGCCTTCAAGATGCTAACTTAGACCTCTCTCAAACAATTGGTAAATTACAGTGACCTGAGGCCATGCTGTTGCTGAACAAGAGTTTCCATAAAACAGTGTTACATGTCTTTTTTTTAAACCATGGGCTGCTGAGTTCATACCTAGCTTTGTCTTGAGTTTTTTACCTGTACGTTTATGGACAAGCTTGCAAGATTTTATGCTTAAGAGAGAGGAAAAAGCAGGAAAAGATTAAGAACAACATTTTCTGTAAAGGGACACTGCAGCATAGACTGCAGGAACCTCCTCTTCAAAATACTTCTCTAGTTGAACAGTCAGCTCGAATTCATGGTTATTGTATTGCTAGAATGTGTATTTCAGTACTAAATCTTGCTCCATCTGATAAATACCAAGGTCTTCTACTCTTTTTTCAGGATCCTTTTCCTTTAATAAAAAGCAAAAATAGTAGATGAAATTAAAATCTTAAGTTCTTCAAGACATGAGAGTGGTTCTTTGTTAAAGACATTCTAGGCTACTTACACTGCTCTCTGTTCTGCCGTGAATATGTAGTATGTATAAGTTGGATAAATGGAGAACTTACTGCAGTAGATTTAATCTTCAGGAGTTTGCAATTGGGAATATTTTTGTTGAAATCTTTCTAAATTACTGTATTTAAGTGTTTAAAATACTTACTGACAAGCAATTTAGAGCAGTGGCACTTTCTTGTCCAAATTTTGTTTTATTGTTTTAAACTACGTCAGAACAAACTTGGTGGGGTTGCAAAAACATGTACAGAGTACATGGAACTCGGAATTAGCAATGTAATCTATTGCTTCTGTAGCAGACAGTACTGTTGTGGGTGTTATGGAAAGGCGAGAATTGCATGTGTGGTTTTTATTTTGTTTAGGAGCAGAGGAGGAAAGAGAAGTTAGAAAGAAAGAGAGAGATGATGTTAAAGTCTGCCAAGGTGAGATTAAGTAGCTACTTTGTGCAACTTTCTAAATAAAAGTCTGAAAATTACAATGTTTGTTTTGACCACGGTAAGTAAAATAAGTAAGTTTGATTGTCCAGTGTTTGACTTGCAGGATCTACCTAATACACCATGTTTATTTTAACTGTAGTAGGACTGTTTGAAAGTGCTTAAAAATTGTATACCATGACAGTCATTTTTAGGGGATGTTTTTGACTAGTTATTATTAGAGAAAATAGTTTCAATTTGTCTTGAGGAGTTTTTTGTTTTAGCAATGATGGCTTTGTTCAGCTAAAATAGTGAATAAGTCATAAGAAAAAATAAGCAAGAATTTTTTTTTCTGTGTTTTTGAAAACTGTTTAGTAGTAGAAATGTTTCAAGAAGCTTTCAAAGGTAATGGTAGGAGTCTGATTACATCTTTTTATCTGTGTTGTGATAGTAAAGGATGCATAAGATGATGAACCTCTTTCTATGATTATTTTCCAGGGTCAAAACCCAGTTGATGGCAAAGAGGAGAAATCAGGTGATGTATTAGGCTTTGCCTTTTTTCAGTACTGGTGAGTTTGATTTCCTCAATGTTTGATGCATTGTATAAACTCAAATATTATCTTACAGGTGCAAAAAAGAAGAGAGGAAGAGAAGATGGGACATACAACATATCAGAAATTATGTCCAAAGAGGTATGCCCTAACTATAAATGAGTTGTCTGGATTTTTGTAGCACTTTTAATGAGTGAGCCAATTTCTGTGACATCTGTATTTTAGAGCACTCCGTTCTCACACATTGCTACCAGATATTATCAGCCGTCAGCAGTCTGTCTGTGAGCAAAGATGTATCTAACAGGCAGTGTTGTTTGTTTTTTCAATTCTTTGGGGAGGCAAGCTGTGAAGAGTCTACCGTTGCCAATTGAATTTTCAGCTACCCTTTGTAATTGAAATTAATTACCTGGTGTGTGGCCTTGTTTTAGAGGCACTTGTATGATTAATGCTTTTGTATGTTAAGCTTTTTAAAGCATATCCAGATTGAAAGATGAATGAAGAGATTACATGAAATGCAAATTACCGTGGCCTTTAAGGTTGAAAAGCACATGAGCATGTTGTTTTTTTTTTTTTTTCCATTTGTTTCCAGGAAATATTATCAGTGGCAAAAAAAAGTAAAGTGGAAAATCAGGTATGTTGACACATTATTGCAGTTTAAGAGTGCTAAACCCAAAGGGAGGGAGGGCTTTTTATATTTTATAGTGTATTCTTAAACTTTACCTGTAAATGAACATCTTTGCTAGTTATTGAAGTCCTGAATTAAAGTCTAGAAAGGTGGTATAAATGAATGCACTTAAATACTTATTTCAGTAATCCAAGGTGAAAACTTTTAATTTGTTTTTTTTTTTAAACTGAGTTTGAAGGTCAGTAATCCAAGGTGAAAACTTTTAATTTGTTTTTTTTTTTTTTTAACTGAGTTTGAAGACATTTATACTTTATAGATTGCTAGTAGCTTCAGAAATAAAGGAAATAGGAGTTTATTAGAAAATATTTGTGTTGGTGCTTAAGACTTTAAACCAGTAATTTTTAAGCAGTCAAGTGTAGAGATAACAGGTGAGGTCTCTTTTTTGCTTCTGTAGTTCCAGAGCTGCATGCACAGTGTGAATTGCTTCCTAACATTAGAACAGCTTACAGAAAGGAAAGCTCTTCTGCTTACAGAAGGGAAATTGCTGCATTGAATGCCTGCCTCTGTGAGGAAGGTTTTAAGTCTGTTTACTTTTATGGGTAGAAAATTATAAGCCAAATACCTTCAGTAGATGTCACTGCTCTTGAATTCTAAAGGAGAACAAAGTCTACTCTTGAGTGGACAGTTGACTCTAAAGAAGTCTTTGTGTCAGAGATTGAGTTACTACTGCACATTAAGGCTAGTGTAAATTGGGAAGAAGTATGTCTTAGCAGGCTTTGATGTGCATTCCACTTGTCACATGCTCCTTGACCTTCCTTCTGTAGGATGAAAGCTCTGCTGAAAACGTGCATCCAGAAGACCTGCAGAAAAATGGAGACTCAAACAGTGTCATCAAGGACAGGTTGTGTCAAGCTGTACGACACAGTGCCAAGCACTTTCTTGATCCAGTGCGAAAATTTAACGGACAACCAGTGCCTTTTCAGCAGCCAAAGATTTTTACTGGTGGTGTAATGAGGTGGTACCAAGTGGAAGGCATGGAGTGGCTAAGGGTATGGAAGTAATTGAATTTGATCAGAGTTCTGATTGGAAACTGGTGTGGAGGGGAAAACATATTGGAAGTCTCTGATTATAGTTGGTACAGGGAAGGTGAAGAGGGGAGAGTTGAAAGAGAGATCTTTCATGGTACAAGAATCTGGTGTTGATAAAGTTGTCAAGCAGCAAATAAAATGTTTCAGTGTGGGAAGAATATTGGTGATTCTAAGCCTTTTTTAATAGACTTTCTGGCTGGTGTTCTCCATCTTTCCTTTTTCCATCTATTTTCTTACTCAACTCAACCTTCCTTACAAAGAGTTTGTGAAAGCAGAGCTATACATCCTACTGAGAGACGGTCTTACTTGTTTCTCTCAAGGGCTTCAATACCTAGCCCAGAGGTATTCAAAGATTCAAAGACCTGTTACCTTTGCAGGTTTGACACAGATGAATTTTCGTTCTCTGTATCTTGGAGTCTTAACTAGTAATATTAGCACAGTGTGTTAAAAATGCTATGTCTTTAGCTTCTGAAATAAATAGGAGCTTGACATCAAAATTACCCACGTACTTTTTTAACTTCTACCTGTTTCAGTATGCAAGCTAAATTAAAAAATTTATAAGAATCAAAACTAATTTTAATTCTGCTACTGATCTCATATTTCTCTCAGATCTTTTCTTTCTGTTTTTCTTCCCTACAAGCGTTCACAGTCTGTTTCAACATGCCTAGACTCACCCCTCAAGTGAGTGCGACTGAGCTTGCTCACTCACTTCTGTTACTGGAAAGTGCCCAGTGAAGACAGGCCTCTTCTGAAGGGAAAACCGTTTTCCTTAGTTGGGCCTTCAGTTATAATAATCTCGTTATGTATCTTTATTGAACAGCAGAAAGTGCAAAGAGCAATTCTGTGTCTTTCTGGTTTTTTGTGAGAGGTTGCTCTGCTCTTTGTCAGAGTAGGCAGTGTCTGCACAAAGGACTTTGGCTGGAGCAGGTGGCTGTGCTGGCCAGGAAGTGTACCTTTTTCTTGTGGTGAGGTAGCAACATGAGCTCCATGCCTACAGAAGCTTCTTGAGTAGATACCACTGAAAAGTCAGCACAGTCATTTGGTCTTTTGGAAAGCAGAGCTAAGTGAAGTTTCAGAGCTGGGATGAGTAAAACCTTGGGTAATGCAAGCTTTACTTACAGTTAAAGCGCCTTCTGGTGCAACACTAAATTATGTACTTTCCTTTGATACTGTTCTGTTTTTTGTGCCCTAGTCAGGCACTTAGTTGGCTAGGAGTGCATACATCTACATGAGAATATCCAGCATTTACAAGATGCTTGTATTTATTTTTATAATACAATCATCTTCATCTGTAATATAAAATGGGCCTAGTAGAGAGTTTCCACAGGTGTTGCATTCCTAAAGATCTTTGTTTTTCCAAATGTGTGTTGATTATTTTGCATTTACTCTTCTTTTTTTTTTTTTTCCCATGCACAGATGCTTTGGGAAAATGGTATTAATGGCATTTTAGCTGATGAAATGGGGCTGGGGAAGACAATCCAGTGTATTGCAACAATAGCACTGATGGTGGAGCGAGGGGTCCCTGGTCCATTCTTAGTATGTGGTCCTTTGTCTACTCTTCCAAACTGGATGTCTGAATTCAAGAGATTTACCCCAGAGGTAAAAGAAATTAAGACTTTTATTCTTCTCCCTTAGGCTTAAAAGCACAAATTGTTTAATTTCTATTAAAATTCTTTGTCTTGAAGCTTTCTCTATATAGAACATAATTTTAATTGTAGTTGTTTATGTGGTTACTACAAACTGCTGTGACTTGCTATGGATTTACAGCCTTCTTATAAGAGATCTTGGTATTTCTACTGTTCTCCCATTAGCTTAAAATGGGCATCATAGTCCTGACTTGTAATCTCTTTTTTTACAGATTCCACTAATGCTCTATCATGGAACTCAGCAGGAGCGTCGCAAACTGGTTCGTAAAATACGCGGAAGACAAGGATCACTGCAAATCTATCCTGTGGTCATCACTTCCTTTGAAATAGCAATGCGAGACAGAGCTGCCCTGCAGGTACCCAAGTTCTCTTAGCTCCAAGACTGTGTTGTGCCTCAATACTGATAGCAGTACTTTTGAACACAGTAAAAAACCCCACATGCTGCCTGTACAATAAGTTTCATACTGTAGCATGTATATTGGCATTTATTTCTGTTTCCTTGGTAGTAGTAGCTCTGCAATTTAATGCTTAAGTTCTTCAAACAACATTATTCTAAAAGCAGATAGTTAGAGCATACCTGCTCTTTTTCTTACCGTCCTGTAGGTGATGGTTAAGGATGTTTAGAGCAAGAACCATACTTAATGTATAAATATTGTTGTTAACATCACAGTGGTTGTTTTAGCAAGATGAGTTTCTTGCAGAAGTTCTGTTTTAACCACCTAAGCTTTCTAAAAGGTAGTCACATGAAGCAGATGTGTGGCACTAACTGTTTGGGCTCAGCTCTATTAGTTTGGCAAAGTGAAAAACAGTAAATAGAACCTTTGTAGCAGGCAGAATCAAACAGTGCTTATCTTATTATTGCTTCTTAATTAATGTGACACCTGTTTTGATGAAATAAAGCTAAAATTTACTGAAATATCCTTTGTTTTCATAGAACTGCTACTGGAAGTACCTCATAGTAGATGAAGGTCACAGGATTAAAAATATGAACTGCCGCCTTATCAGAGAATTGAAACGATTTAACGCAGACAATAAACTCCTGTTGACTGGCACCCCCCTGCAAAACAACTTGGCAGAGCTTTGGTCATTGCTTAACTTCCTATTGCCTGATGTTTTTGATGATTTGAAAAGGTAGATTGCAATCTGATGGTGGAAACTATTTCTGTTTGTTGTGTTTGAGTATTATTATGACTCTTTAATAATTAAACTTATCAGCATGTGAAGAGTTGTTTTATGGCATAGTTGTAATCCAGTATGATTATTTGGTGGCAAAGGCTTTGAAATGTGTCTTGCCTCACACTTAGTAGTTTCAGAAAGGAAGGAATTAATTGTTGTCTCCCTAGATAGTGGAAGCTCAGTGAGCAAAGACATGAACATTTGTGCTGAGAGATGTTTGCTTTATCACAAATACCTGGTGCTGCTTTTTGGAGATTCTCAAAAGTGTTGGATGAAGCTTTGTGAGGCTGGCAGACACAGGACCCACGGATCCTTTTCTGTGGCAGTAGGGGGTCAGGTGGAAGAGCACTGCCAAAGGAGTGTTTTGACTAATTTTTGGAAAAAGCTATAACCTAGATAGGATATAACAGATGATAATGAATATTCCAACTAGTACAAATATTTTTACACATCACACAAAACCTCAAGCTTCTGAATTGACAGGTATATTTCAAAAATTCCTCCGATACACCTTCTATTCATGTGAATGCTCTTTTTTTTTTTTTTTTTTTTAAATCACAGGATAAGAGAAGAATCAGTACTTCGTGGCTATTATTGTTAATTATTTTAGTAAGCTATTTTTTTCCTTGCTTTATTTTTATAGCTTTGAATCCTGGTTTGATATTACCAGCATTACAGAAACTGCTGAAGATATTATTGCTAAAGAAAGGGAGCAAAACATCTTGCATATGCTGCATCAGGTTTTCATTTATCCTTCATTTGTATTTTTTATGATATAGTTGTAACATTGACCATTCATGTCATGAAGTGTGCCAAAATCTTGTTTGTGATGCTGAATAATGGTCTGAGGCTTTTATTGTGGCACTTATGGACTTCCTGAGATTTGTAGGGTGTTCTTTTCAATCTTTGCAGCACTTACAAATGCTAAAGGAACAATGTATCTCTTTCATAGCCACTCATTTTTATTCTTGGAGCTGAATTAAGTTTAGTCAAACTTAATTGCAGTTACAGATTTCAATTCGCCAAGAGATTTAATCAGTGTATTTATTTTGTTAAAAGGTAACTTTGAGGGAACTTCTGTAACTTTTAGGTGTTGTGCAGAATACCTTTTGACAAACTATTTATATAATATGGCTGTCTTCAAATTAACACTTAAAGCTCTTTTTTTAAGAGAGTGTGTGGAAGTAAATGCTTACAGACCTATCATTTTTCCATTATAAGCTGCTGCTGAGGGATCTAAACTGTATCTTCTATGTATAATTGTTGATGACAATTTATTTATTTTGGTTAAAGGTTTTGGGCATCTTCAGAAAAACTTGATTTAAGAAATATAACAAACAAAATGAGCAGTTTTGTATTAAGATTGCTTTCAGTTACTGGAATTTGTGAGAAAGGTCTGTAACAGTTACTACTGCACCCCTACTAAGCACTTCAAAATTTTTTAAATGTTAAGGGGTGTGTTTCAACACGTTAGTACCAGCATGTGTGTGAAAATGTTGAGTAGGCATAAGTATTAAAAAACTAAACATATGTGCAAATTAACTCTCGTACTTTAAATTGGCAAAATAGCATTACATCAGTAGGCCTGCTTCTGTGTTGTCTTGTTTTCTTTGTTTTAAACTAGCTGTGTTGACAGCTTTGAGTAATTGTAGTATCTGCTCGCCATTTCAGATTCTGACACCCTTCTTACTGAGAAGGCTGAAATCAGATGTTGCTCTTGAGGTGCCTCCTAAACGAGAAGTTGTGGTGTATGCGCCGCTGTCAAAGAAGCAGGAAACTTTCTATACTGCCATTGTCAATCGCACCATTAGGAAACTCTTTGGAAATAATGAGGTATGTGCTGATGAGGATGTTAGAATGTGCTTGCTTGTAATAGTTCCTATGCAAAACCATATTGGTACTGCTTCATTACCATTGTAACTAAACCTGCTTTTATTCTTAAATTTTTAGTCTGATCTATTTGTTATCTATTTCAATAGTGGCAGTTACTGTGATAGGCCTGTGGCATAGAGCTAAAACAATATAAGTGTAAATATGGTCTTGATTACTTGTAGCTTGGGAGGGAAGGAGCACTGTTTTCTTGGAGTTGACAGTGTCAGCTTAGAATCAGTAAGGTACGAATGTAGCTTTCTAAAATCAAACACAAACTTTCAAAATTTACAGTTGTAGACCTTTACAATTTGGCTGCATGTTCTACCTAGCCAAAATTTAAGCTGCTGAGTCTAAATAAGTGTTGTATAATGCACATCACTGAGGCCTCTTTTGAGTTTTGAGAATTCTTGGATCAGCACAGGCCTTTGATTCTGAAGCTGGCTGCTGTTAATGGTAATGTTCTCATTTCCCACAGGAAGAAGTAGTTGAGTTGAGCTCTACAGGCCGACCAAAACGCCGTAGTCGGAAAGTGGTTGATTATTGTGAAGATCATAATGGTTCACCTGATGACTTGGAAAAATTAATTAGCAGAATGCAAGAGGAAGTAGAAAAAGAGAGGTGCCTGTCTTGAATTTTTTTTTTCTTGTTGTACTGTCTATCTCCCTCTTAGTTTGCTTCCAGTGCTTTGCTTACTGAAATTGATCAGGAAGAATAGCATTTAGTGATTCACAATACTTCTAGCTTTATGGTTTGTTTCTTTGATTTTACCTGGTATCCACTGAGCTGTGATAGCAGTGATTATTGTACCATCACTCACTGGCTCATTAGAGTTACAGTTAACTTCAGGACACAGTTGTGGTTTAACCCGAGGCAGCAGCCAAGCACCACCCAGCTGCTCACTCACAACTCTATCAGTGGGGTTGGGGAAAGAATCAGAAGGGTAAAAGCTGGAAAACATGTGGTTTGAGATAAAGATAGTTTAATAGGGAAGGCAAAAGCTGCACATGCAAGCAAAGCAAAACAAGGAATTAATTCACTGCTTCCCATGGGCAGGCAGGTGTTCAGCCATCCACAGGAGAGAAAGGCCCCATCATGCAGAGCAGTTGCTTGGAAAGACAAACAGTGTCACTCCAAATGTCCTCCACTTTTCCTTCTGTTCATGGCTCTAAATTGGTTGAAAGTCCCTTGGGCATAAGGAGAATCTTCAGGTTGAAAAGTGTTTATTTTGCTAGATTTTTATTCTAGTCCAGTGTAGCCTGTGAGAACAGACAATTAAATCTGTGTTTGTGTTAGATTTGTGGTATGCATGGATCCCTTATGTTGGAGACAGTACTTACATGTAGAAGAGCTAAATATGATTCCTGCAATGTAGCCAAATTCAGGGATAGGCAGACAGCTGATTCTGGAATATCTTGGGTATTGCTCCCCGGGAAACCTGACTGTGGTCTGGTGAGGGCTTGCTTCTGTTCCCTTTTCTGCTGGGTGACTTGAACAAGTCAAATTCTGCTTCTAATTACTACTGACTGCTCTTTTATATTTTAAATCAATAATGGCAAACAGTTATTCCTTTGTTGCCAAGTGTGGTGCTCTAAAAAGTTTTGTCTGGTAATAGCTTTACAGACTATGAGGGATTTTGAGCATGTCACAGCATGTGACTGCATTGCTTGATTTTGTTGTAGGGTTTTTTTTCTCTCAAATATTGACAGCATAATAAGGGAACACTTTCAGTACTAATAAGATGATGTGTCTTTTCAAGGCCAGTGGTAGAAGTGAGCATTCCCATGGATTCCGAGGTGAACCTTAAACTGCAGAATATTATGATGTTATTGAGGAAGTGTTGTAATCACCCCTATCTTATTGAGTATCCTTTGGATCCTGCGACACAACAATTCAAGGTACACATTTTAAAAGCATTAGAGAAACTTTACTCCAGGCATTAAAAAGCAATAGACTGGGAGCTGATGTCAGTAAAGAATGACCTTTTCAATGGATTTGGCACACGCCTCCTATTGAATTCCAGCAGTATACTGAATCATTATATGAAACTTCCTGCAGCAGCAGTAGCAGGGACCTGTTCAGCTGCTGTGCCCATTCAGCCTTTGCACAGTGGTGCCTTGGTGTTCTTCATTGTGGCAGTGCTTTTCCGCTGGTGGAGAGTTATTCAGAGTTGCTGGCTTCCATTGACTCCAGGTGCTTTAGGGGCTGCCTCAAGGTCTCCTTACCAGGGTTATTTTTCAAAACAAATGCTAACCCTGGTGAACTGTTCATGAAGTAAATTGTACACACTGCCAGGAGGTGTTGAAGCGTGAGTTGTTGAAGAACTGTACCAAATATAACAGTCATCTGCTCAGAGAATATAGCATCCTTCCTCAAAAGGGAAGAAATCCAAGTAATATCACAAAGATGGAAATACAGGAAAGTGTGAAATAATTTGAATTGAAAGAATTTTAGAGAGAATATAGCATCCTTCCTCAAAAGGGAAGAAATCCAAGTAATATCACAAAGACCAGATGGTAGTTTAATCTACACAAAGCAGATGGAAATACAAGAAAGTGTGAAATAATTTGAATTTAAAGAATTTTAAAGAACTGGAAGTTGCTTGCACATTCTAAATGTAGATGTAGATTTGTATGTATGTGTAGTCATGTTTCCTATTTGGTGAGTGATAACAGAGCCTGCTGTACTCCAGAGTATGCTGTTGAAGCGTATCAATGTAAAGTACATGCATAAAAAGCAGATTCCCCAGTCAGGGAGCTGAGGGAAAAGTAGTTTGTTGAAAATGGAGACCATTTGACAGCTGACACCATCCACAGGAGTCAGTACTTGCTCAGGAGGATATATTCCTAATTACCACAGTGGCTGCTGTATGTTTCAGACCTTAGAAGTTTCTATTTCCCTGCCCTTAGCCCGTGGCTGGAATTAGATCTAGCAAGCTCTCCTGAAGAGGGGTTTAAGGCAGCAGTGGGAAAACTTGCTGTGAACTTTTACCGCTGGCTGATGTGTAATAACTTGTTCAGTGGTGCCGCTCTATCTCCAGTAGGGGGAAGCCTTGTGTCTTAATTACAAACTGGGAGAGAAACAGCAGCACTATTCCATGAGGAAAAATTAACAACATGAGGGCTTCTCCTTCCAGAAATGGGGTGAAAACTAATTCCTTTTAAAAAATAATTATTTGGGCATATGAAATGGTGGAGTTCAATTTAGTTTCATTATGATTTAAGTGATTCTATGTTGTTTGCTTAAATTAACATTACTTCCAATAGTATGGCTTTTAGTTAAGAAAATGGTGCATGCTTGTCTCAGTGAGATTTCAGAGGGTTTTTGTTGGTGCTTCTGAGCTGGGGAAGCCATTGGTCTCCTTCCCTCCTAATTTATGGTCCCCTCTTCCCTGTTCCAAGGTTGATGAAGATCTAGTAAAGAATTCAGGCAAGTTTCTCCTCTTGGACCGAATGCTTCCAGAACTTAAAAAGAGAGGACATAAGGTAAAGCTGAAGATTATTGGAGGGATGAGATACAGTCATCTCCTTAGGAACAAAAAATGTTATTAAGGAATCTTTCTGGTTTTGTAGGTCTTGTTGTTCTCACAAATGACTATGATGCTTGACATTTTGATGGATTACTGTTACCTGAGAAACTTCAAATTCAGTCGATTGGATGGCTCTATGTCATACTCTCAGAGAGAAGAAAATGTAAGTACATGGGCATGCCATGTGAGCACATCAGCAAATTCTGCTTTTGCCATGACACTGGGATATGATTTTGCACAGCACTTTGCCTTTAATAGGCAAAACATGTCTATGCTGAAAACAGTCTTCTGCCTTTGTATCTGCGGCTCAAAAACACTGAAGCTGTAAAGTGTGCTGCTAACCATTACCTTGAGGTATGCCTAAAATGCAGTGCTTCTTAAAACCTCTGACAGCTTGTGTTGTATTTTCTGTGTGTTCATCTTTTTAAACAGGTCTCATTAACCATTAGCCATGTTATGTTTGGTCCATCTACTTTTTTTAATAGATGAAATCTTTTCCAGATGCATCAATTTAATACTGACCCTGAAGTCTTCCTGTTCTTAGTGAGTACAAGAGCTGGAGGCCTGGGCATTAACTTAACTGCGGCAGACACAGTTATCATATATGACAGTGACTGGGTATGTTGACAGATTGTGAACCTAGTGATAGGTGTCAAAAATGCTTTCTCTTGCTGCTTTTGATAATCAATTATGAACCTATTATGGTATAGACCATTTCTATAACCTTAATGAGGTGTTATGTGAAGACAATAGTAGCATGTTAACATGTGCAAACATTTTGTTTGTGAAATAATACAGCCTCATTTGGAAAGTCCTGGGTTACTGAATACAACATTAGAGTTGGTTTCTGAGTTTGCCCCTGAGTTACCAAAAGCAGGAGTTTTTTTTGGTGTTGTCACTACATTTTCTTCTTTTTATTACTTAAATTTGAGTGTAGGTGGACCTTTTATGGGTTCCCTGTTTACAACAACTGCCATGTTAGTATCAGCTCCATGAATTTCCTCTGTGATTTGCCATATGTGTTTTAGCTAGCTAGGATTCTGCTGGTCCTGTAAATCTGGAGGCTGAAAAAGAAATGTTGGGAAGGAAATGACTGAGGACCTCTGTATCTTCACTTTAGTTTAGTAGACAATGCTGCTATTTTCAGCTTCAGAAACAGCTGAAAACTTTTAAAATACCTTTTCTTATCCTCTAACAAAGAACCCCACCACAAACCTACAACTAAAATTATCATCTAAGTCTGTCATATTAACCATGTCCACCAGTAGAAAATTGCAGCACACAGTGCAGAAGCAGTCCAAGCTGCTTGGGTTTCTCTGCCTGTGCAGCTATAACAGCAGAGCTTGTCACGGACAAGCTTAAGAGTCAAGAGGGGTAGAGTTGTATAATACACCACGTTTCTTCTGCTTCTGCACTGACTCTGAGCTCCCCATTAAAAATGCTGCATGTAGTATGTCCTTTAAAAAAAGGATAATGGCCTAACTAAATTGTTACTGCTTTATTTCTTTATCTACTCAGAACCCCCAGTCAGACTTGCAGGCCCAAGACAGGTGTCACAGAATTGGTCAGACGAAGCCAGTCGTTGTTTATCGTCTTGTGACAGCAAATACTATTGACCAGACGATTGTGGAGAGAGCTGCTGCCAAGAGGAAGCTGGAGAAGCTCATTATCCATAAAAGTTAGTATCTTTCTCTTAGGACTTCATGTCAACACGTGTTGCTTTTTAAATCTCAAGCTGTAACAGATTTGAGTATCCTGTTTGCCTCTGTCCAGTGTGTTATAACCACAGAAGTCCAGTCCTGTTCAAACAACTGGCCAGTGCTAAATAGAAAAATAGTCCTTGGGTTTATGTACAGAACAATGGTGATTCTTGTGATGTTCTTGATTATATGGCTTGTCATACTCAAAAGTCTTTAGAAAGTGATTGCTTTCAAGTGTCCCTTTTGGGGACGAGTTTTTCTTGTACAGATCCTATAGGAATCCTGCTTTGTTTCTGTAGCTGTTGTGACATTTGGACTGTAGCTCCTTATATATAGCAATTTTCAAACATTAAGCTCACTTGCAGAATTGCAATTCTTGCAGCTTGGCTGCTGAACAATAACTAGTTTTATATCAAACTTCAGAGGAGGCTAAAACTTCTCATCATTCTTGTATTCTCATATTGAGGGGGAACAAAGCCTTTTCATAAGGGCAAAAAGCCACACCTCTTTCTACTGCACAGTCAAGCCTAAGCTGTGGTTTGCCTCTGATTCTGGATGATGTTATCTTTGATAATTACTTTATCCTAGCATTAGCCTTTTTCTTTGTAATCTTTTTGCACTGCTGTCTTGGTGTGACTGCCAGGGCTGCCTCTTTATAGGCACGTTATTGACCAGTATACTTTCTTGTTTTTTATTTTGTTTTTAATGGTTTGATAATGGTCCAAACTGAAGTTAAAACCCAAGCAGCAAGATGAGCACAGAATGGGATCTAATAGGTGACTGCCATGTACTAAGGCAGCACTGGAGACTGGGACTGCTTGTACTGGAAGGAAGATAACTGTCAATGCCTTCAGTTTTGCAATAAGTTCAATATTTATCTTGGCATCTATGGGTGTACCACATGTAAATCTTGCAGCTTAGGTAGGGGTGTCACTTCAGGAAACTTTGGATTCATTGTGTAAATGTAAAGCTGATGTTATGGATCCTGTTATTGTGAATATCTGAAAAGTGTTGGAACTTAGGAGAAGCAAATGAGGAAGGAAAATCATAAAACTAACTGTGTAGGGTATATACAGTACAAATACTGGAGCTTAAGAACTGGATTTTGTTACAAAACATAGATTTTTTTTTTTTTTTGCCTTTCCTTCTCGTGCTTCTGTTTCATTAAAAAAGTTGTTTGGGAAACTGTAGTATGGCAACTTGAGACCTGCATGGCACTATTTAATACCATTAATATGAATGAAACTGAATGAAACTTAGCTTTCAGTTTGTGAAACTGAAAGCTAAGGGAGAGACATCACTAGTAACACATGAAAGCACCTGGAGCATGTCTGTCAGTGCTGTAGATGTTAATGGGAGAGAGAATCCTATAGCTCAGACTGCTCTGGAACTTGAATCTGATTTGCACTTCACAGATAAACTCAGAGTTCTTGAAGGGAGATGGGAAAAGATGTAGGGAGGATTTCTGAAGCCAAGATACAGGAAGGAACATCAGTGTGATGAAAGGAATCAGTGAAGACACATCAATAAAATGGGTACATATGTTGATAAAAACTGTGGAAACTTGGCACAGAACAGCAAGTCTTGCCAGTCTCCTTGAAATGAATGACCGAGCTTGACTTCATGCTCAGCTTTGGTTAGGTAATACTCCTGTGTAATGTTTTTTACAGTTGGACTGACATCCAGATTTGCTGTAAATAGGTGCTAGCATAGTCTCAAGCAAGCAGTCTGTGTCAGGGGTATTGCTTTGTCATGTCTGTCTGTTTCATTATACTGAGGCTGTTCTCTCTGCAAACCACATTTTTCACATATTTCGTGTCTTGTGGTTAATACAACTTACTTTGTTTTAACCAGCTTACAATACAAAGGGAACAAACTTCAGCATCCACCATATAACTTTATTTACAATGTTTTTACTGTAAGTAGAACTAACAGCTTTTCTGCTCTGTGTGTTCATGTGGGCATGTTGAATTGGTGTTTTAATCAGTTCTTCTGCATACTACATACATGTCTACATACATACACATTATAGAAAGTGAAAGGCCTGCATGCAAACCTTCTTGTACCTCTGAGTCTGTTAGTGTAAGGTGTGTTTATATGAGGACTAAAGCAATGAAACCTAGCATTAGTTTTGATATTCAACAGTAATTTGTTCTAGTCTCTATGTGCTTTCTTAAAATGTATTGTTTCTACAGATCAGTTTAAAGGTGGCAAATCTGGCCTAGCACAGTCAAAAAGCTGCCTGGACCCTCAGGAATTGCTAGAATTACTGAAATCCAGAGACTATGAGAGGTATGCAGATTTCATATTTTCTTGGACCATGAGTTTGTTACTTGTAACTTGCAAGCAGCTGTCAAGAGCTCTCTTGTCTTATGAAGTGGTATGTGGATCTTCATAGAGGAAAGGATGTCCTAGGGATTCTGCTGCATGGGAAAACTGACTTCTATGTAATGCTAACATGCTTTTATCTTTATTGAGAGATTATTTCTTCTTTAACAGGGAGGTTAAAGGATCTAAAGAGAAAGTAATCAGTGATAAAGATCTAGAGTTACTTTTGGATAGAAGTGATCTTATTGGTAAGTCTGAGTTCTCATGTTTTCTTTATTCTGTTCCTATAATAAATAAGTAAATTCATATTTTGTAAGAGTTCTTTGTGTGTAGAAAGCTGCCATAGCTTCATTTCCCTACAGCTGTGTTGTCCATTTGACAAAGGACCCTTTGGTCCCTTTGTTGACATTTTCAATATGGTTTGCTGGAAAAGAAGTAACAGAACTTAGACAAAAGTATTCCAGAAAACCACATTCAGGCAGGCTGTGCCCTGAGCATATTGTGAGTGACAAGCATAGATTAGGAGGTGTTCTGCAAAGCAGCTTTCAAGGAGAGTTGCTGTAATTGATCAAAATAGAAATTATTCTCAGGAAAGATTTATTCCAGCAAGCTTAAAAAATGTTCTTTGATGCTGTCATAATTCAAAATACATTTATCTGACATTGTCTAACATTTCTGGGAGAAAGAAATGCATTTCTGGGAGAAAGAAGTCAAGTCTAACATTTGGAAGAAAGAAATCCAGCTTTTGAGAGTTCTCATGGCTTATCAGTGGACTGGCTATTTAGCAAAACACCCCAACCAAACCACAACTCTTTTTTGAGGTTGTCTGCAATTTGTAGTGCTTGATCAGGCCAAGATACTGTTGAAAAACTCTTTTAACTTTCCTGAGTGGAAAAATTCTTGTCCAGTTCATAGATCTGGAATACTTTTGTATGATTTGTAGGTTTAGTATGCCTTGTTTCCCTCAACATCTTTAGCAGAACAAGACTCCAAGCATAGGTACAGAAAAAAAACCCCCAGTCATTACAGAATTTAGAAGTAAAAATTTTAGCCTTAAATAAGTATGCTGTGTGTAGTTTGCGTAAAATTAATTTACCTTAGCAAACTTTAGGAAAAAAAATTAAGCCATTGTTCTGTAAAACTGCTTATTTCAGTCAACTGGCTGATAATACAGAAAATTATTCTTGATGAATGAGTAATAATGTTTATATCTTTACGAGTTCAGACTGTGAAACAGTCTGATTTCTCTTTCAAGTTGAAGAAGGTGCTGTTTATCTTGTGTTATTATTGTGCAACATATTTATCGTTGCTTTTTTTTTCTTTGCTCTGCTAATCAAAATTAATAAAGTTGTCAAAAAATATTAATACAAAGATATTAGTCTGGCATCATATATTGAATTTTTGCTATAGCTAACTGCAGTTAGTGCTTGAGAAAGCAAAATTCCAGCTCCCACCCTTGTAAGCCATAATTATTAAATTTATATAAATATAATACTTTTTCATTAGCTTAATATTCACTGGAAGGGCAACAAAGTGATTGCAGTTGCCAGGAAAACAAGTTTGCAAGTCCTTGAATTTTTGGAAAGAATATTGCATATCAGAGCTGTAATTTTATATTTCTCCTGGTAATTTCACAAAATAGGTTTTCTGGGTAATTTTTCAGGAAAATGAGATTAGTTCAGGCAGATTTAGAACTGCTTTTCTCCATTCAAATTTAGCCGGAGATGCTGGAATTTTTTCCTAGAAGCATACAGCTGAAAAATATTTTTGAATACAATATTCTAGTAGCCAACTGTTGATGAAGAAGCAAAATTACTTTATCAGCTTGTTCTCCAATTCTGCAAAATGATTTTTTCAACTTGTTTTCCAAATCTGTTTTCTACTACACCTCTTATTGTTGACCTTTGATTTGTTTTAATCTTAGATCAAATGAAGGCCTCTGAAAAAATGAAAAAGGAAAAAATGGGTGTCTTCAAAGTCCTAGAAGAGTCATCAGAGTCCAATGCAGAATGTGTGTTTTAATATGCAAATGTGGCCTCTAGTCTTTCAGATCTTCCAGAGATGTCACTTACGCTTGCTGGTCCTCGATGCTGACTTTCCTTAAGGCCTTGTTCACATCCCTTGTGTTCTTCCAGTGAATTTTAACACTTTCTAGACTATATTGCAGGTGATAGTGGTAGCTTTAGTAGGCTTTCATAAAGAAAATGGGCATGTTTCACATTTGCAGCTAGTTCTTGTACTCAGTGGTATAAACTGGCAAATTTGTTTAAAAAAATCTTCCTGTGGAAGTCCTAAACCCCTGGGGTTTTTTAAAAATATGGTGTCAATTATAGTATTATTTGGAAGGGACAGAACATGTACCTTTGCTAAAGCCCTTTGTGTAGCTTCTGTTTTTAACTTCTGAGAATTATTTTAATTAAATAAATATCTGTTTTGTTCTAAAAGTCTGTGGATTTTGGCTTCTTAAACAAGCAAGGCTGATCCATTAATTCACACTTTCCTATTTATTTAGCACATTAGCCAATGTCATACATTTAAAGAAAAACAAATTAACCCCACGAAACAGCAGAAAAAACACCCACACACAAAACAAACCAAAAAGCAATGAGCCTAAAATAGCCTAAATCTTTCTGGTGCAGACATTACTTATGTATTGACTGCTGGTCAGCCTGTGCAGCTGAGTTGCCCATTTGAAGCAGATGTAGGGAGCTACAAAGCTGTTGAAGAGTCTGGAGCAGATTGGAGTGACTGAGGGGGCTGAGGGTGTTTAGCCTGGAGAAGGGAGTCCAGCACTGGACACAGCACTGGATGAATCAGGCAGCTTTTAAACTTTCACCTCTGGTTTGTCTTTTCGGTGTCATTTAAAAGCTGCAGTCATGGAATTGCAGCTGGAGCTGTCACAGTTGCAGTTATGCTCATTAATCTGGCATAGATAACACAGAAAAAAACCCCTCTACCAACTCAGACTTTAGAAACCACTTTTCATTCATTTCATGATCATAATTACTCTATTGGCCTGATAGAGAAGGGAATCTTATAGTAGCAACAGATATTCATACTTACCTCTAAGGAACAGATAAATCTGTTAATGAGTAAGCTGACTTTGATCTTTGCCTGGTGAAAGCCCCGTTTTGTTGGTAATTGCTGAAGACAAAAGTTTCTAATTTTTCTGTTCAGTTACTAATTACCTTGAGTAATACAAAGTCCAGCATGTGCCTCTCCTGGGGACAGCTGAATACCTGCCTGCCCATGGGAAGGAGTGAATTCATTCCTTGTGCTTAGCTCGTGTGTGTGGCTTTTGTTTTCCCTATTAAACTGTCTGCATCTCAACCTAATCTTGTTAAAGACAATAGTAAGTGACAGCTGCTCCCACACAGCCTACATAACTTTTGAAGATTGATCTGCCCTGCTTAACCTGCAATATGGTGCAAAATCAAAGTAATTGGTGTTAAAAATGTCAGATTGTGCTTTGTGCTGTGCTGCCCACCTTTGTGAAACACTCCCTCTGGCAGGATGCTCAGCCACTCAAACTGCCCAACACGCCTCACATAGGAACCTTTTATGTGTTCTTACATTATTGATAACTTAGACAGCTCAGTGAGGTTGCAAGGCTATTTAACCTATTTTGTTATTGTTGACAGACTGCAGATGCCAACTGTTTAACTCCCGAGGAATCTGGAAAGTCAGACTACAGTGAACACTGAAGTTGTCAAATATTTTGCCCTACATCATAAAAGATAAATACGTTCCTTTTCTCAGCCAGCCACAGCAGAGAGTGATCAAAGTCTTCAAGTAACAAATGTGAACTTCCTCACCTAACCCATTCCCATGTAATAAATTGGATCAACTCTGGTATACACACTAGAAACCTACACTTCCAGACTACTCCACAAATCTTTTGTAGTCCCCGAGTCCTGTGCCAAGCCCCTGCAGTGTTCCCAGCTGGGCTGCCAGCCTGGCTGCAGGAGCTCGGGCTGGTGACAGCCCATGGCCCTGCACAAAGCAGGGCTTGTCACCCGTTTGCAGGGTGGCGCTGGGTGGGAGGGCAGGGAAATGCCAGGCAGGGCCAGGCTCTAACGCCCTTGCCCCCAAAATCATGAGCTTTTCTGTAATAAGTTCTGTTTTGCTGACAGACATTTGTGTGCAAAATAATGTAGTGACTTTGTAGGCAGTGGAGGGCTCAGCCCAGGCTCCAGGGCCGGGACACAGAGCTGCAGATGGCCTCAGCAGCCAGCATTTTCCTGGGGGAGCCCTGAGCCCCCAGCCTGCTGAGAAAGCAGGTGGTGTGGAGCAGCCACAGTCCCACTGCCAGACAGGAGACCTGGTCCACAATACAGCCAGAGCAGTTTTTGTCTTTAGGGTCACTCCTTCACCCCTGCAGGTCTGCTTCCCACCACTGCACCTGCTTATTGTGCTGTCCCTCCTGCCAACACTGCAGCACAGAGAGCCTTTCCCTATGGAAGTGTGCTGTGGAGAGGTGAGAATTAACCCTCCTAAGCAGTAGTGAGGGGAGACATCATCCCAGCAGGAAAAAAATCCCTCCACTCTCACCTTGGAAAAGAGCTACTTGTGTTACTGGAGTTTGGGGAGGTCTGTGCTGATGTGTGCCAGCGGCCCAGAGAAGCCAGGCTTTTCCCAGGGATGATCCAAACAAAGTTGGCTGGTGGAGCTATGGCAGCCTTGCTTGCTTGCCTCTGCCCATAGAAGGAGCCTGAAGAGGCTGAACTAAATTTAGCTGGGTTAGTGAACTAGTCCCCTGCCCAACCTGCCCAAAAGCTGCACTGTTTATCTGAACAGCAGGAGGCTTATAGGCTTGGTGTCAGGTCAGCTTTACCTCAGATGAGGATTGGGTTTGGGGTTGTGGTTTGAGCTTGGCTGTTTTGGTTTATTAGCTTTTTGTTGTTTGGGTTTTTTTGGGTTTTTTTTTTTGTTTTTTTTTTTTTTTTTAATACAAGGCAGCTGTGCTGTGATTCATTGTGAAGGAGAGGAAACAGGGTGCAGCAATACAGCATTGCTGAACACCGACAGGGCTTTCCAGGGCAAGGACGTGACCACGTCTGTAGGTGTTGCAGATGCACCCACTAACTCCAGGGGCCCTGTGCTGGCCACAGAGGGTCTGTGTGCAGCCATGAACCACCCTGCTGATTTCAACCACTGGCAATCTCTTGTAAAGGAAACATGACACATCTTACAAACAGTTTATTTTTACATGATTAAGAACAGCCAGCCATCATCTCACTTAGAGGTGTGAGAGAAATAACCACTGCAGGCCTCCTCTGTGCTCTACACGGGTAGAGGTTCTGCTTCTCAGGCACCATCAGCCCTTTGTCCAGGGCACAAGGGCCATGTGTCCCCCTCCCCACATCATCCCCCAAAGGCACCCTCCAGCAGCTGTGCACAGCAGCAGCACTAGGAGCAGGGTGATGCCTTGGGCAGCCACATGTGGTTCCCCCAGGGGGAGCCAGAACAGGGACTGTGGCCATTCAAACCTTTCTCTCTTCACGCTCAGATTCCCTGGTTTCCAGCAAGCGTCGTGTGACCATTTCTCTCACAGAGCTCAGTTTGTGACTGTGGGGTACATCTGCGGTGATGCAGTAGCAGCAAACACTGCCGTGCCCAGTCCCGTCATTATGAAGCAGTGCTGGACACAGAGGAGGCAGCACTGGGCACACGCCACCAGCCTGCCCTGCAGCTTGGCTGTGCCCACCTGCCCCTTGCTGGGTGCCAGCAGGCAGCTGCTCACAGCTCAGCTGGCAGCAAGACCAGCCTGACTCAACTTCATAGATCCCTCTCACTATTCTCCACGATAAACAGAACCATGCACTGGACACCTCTTCTGCTGCCCGGGGAGCAGAAAAATACAGTGCACAAGAAAACAGCAGAAAGCAGACACTTCTACCTTGTGGATTCACCCCATTTATTGCAGGCAAACAGATGGCAAATAGCTAGAACACAGAAAAGTTGTAATCTGACTTTGGCCTCTGATTTTCCTGTGTGATTGACAGCACAATGAAGGAAAAAAAAATTCTGTTTAATAAAAAAAAGTGAAAGAGGATGAAAAGAATGCTGAAATTAGTGACATCTCATGTGAACAGATGGAGGATTAATAATGACAAGGAAATTCAAAGCCATGCCTAACATTCCTTATTGCAAACAAGATTCTGCAGGGGGTAGGGATAATGCTCTCCAAGGAAAATCAGCAGAGGATAAATCATCCACAGTGGCTTTGTGAGCAGCATGGTTTACTTTGGGAAGACGGTGACTACCTCGTAGCCCTCCGGCGGAACCACCCGTTCCCGCGCATGCTTCTCGCAGTAGATTTGGTCTTCCACAAAGAAGTGTCCTTTCTGCTTGAGATTGGTGCCACAGTCGCTGCACACGTAGCACTCGGGGTGACGCTGCTTGTCCCGGATCTTCACAAACATCCCTCTGGGGAGGAACCAGCACCGCTCAGTGCCCACTGTCTCCCTCGTCCCCAGGCACCTCCCACCCAGCCCAGAGCCAAACCAGCCCCAAAGGTGAACCATTTTCTTCTGCTCCTGACAAGTCAAAGGATAGGCCCTGCCTCTGGTCAGGCAAATGTTAATAGCACTTTTAGAAGCCCAACATGTGCTGGCATGGAAACTCTGCTCTAGAAAGTGTTTCCCAGCATTGACGTGCGTAAGTTACACAGGGACAGTCCTATCACCTGTGGGGGGAAGAATTACTGTGATGGCATCTTTAGCTGGTGGCTGCAGACAGCACAACAGCATTCAAATGCCCAGGATCAAATGGCCCACATTAGCTTGACCATCTGGGGAAGCAAAATCCGGGTACAAGCCAACTGGATGACAAAACAAATGCAGAAATGCAGGGATGAAGGCTGCACGGCCAGCACTACCCTTTTGTAGTGACTGACGTGCGGGAGAAGCACAGAGACTAGATCCTGGTTTTCATCTCAGACATGGCTGCTTGGGAGATGCAGTGAACAGATCCAGCCAAATGTGGGCCAGCTCTTACTGGAAGACTTCACATCTCAGCCCAACAGATGGCTAGGAAAACTACAAAAACTACACAGCAGTTTGTTAACTACCATCAGCCCCAACACAACAATTTTCCAGTATTATTTTGTTCTAGCAGCCATCTCTATTTTCTGTAATTCATTAGTTTTGAGTGCTATTCAAGGCCTTGTGCTTTCTCTCCAGACCTACCCAGCTGGTTGAACAATTACAGGGTTTGTCTCTGAGTCATATTTTACAGGGTATGGATTGCCTCTCTAATGAATCTGCTGGTCCAGATGCTCCAGGCATGCCAGGACCATGCAATCACAGTGTAGCGGGTCTCAGCAACAATCTGATAGCTTGTGGCAAGCAGCATCTGAAAAATCAGAATTCTTCCGTGACAAAGCAGGTTTGGCTACGAGTACTTGACTGCTGTGTAGTCAGCTCTTAAGGGGGTTGCAGAGGAAGAATTTGAAGAATCTGAGGTTGAAAAAATTGACTGTTTTCAGTGCTGGGTCCCCCATGTGGTCACACGATACAGCAGCTCTGTATCAAACCCAAACCCCAGGTATGCTGGAGTTTGATTTTACGCACATAAAGACAAAAAAACAATATGTCTGCATAGACACAGTGGAGGTGATGTGAGGTCCTACAGGAGACTGAAGCTCTGCAGTCCCCAGTGCCTCTGACCAGCAAGGCAAGTCTCCGTGCCACGCCTGGCACGGAGACAGGAAATACATTAAATACACAGGCCCTGAATGGAAAGGTCATTTTGTTTCCAAATGCTGTAAACAGATTTCAGGTCAGCCAAACACTGCAGCAACAACTGCCTCAAGGTCTGAGTCACAGGGACTTGTTCTGGTTTCCACTGATAAGGATCTGTAGATGGAAACCCAACTCCTGCCCCACTGCAGGGACCTGCAAAGTTAGTGTTATTAAAGCTGGTGAGAATAAACGTGCCTTGAGTCTCCTGGATGCACTGGATGTGGGTGAGTGAAGCTGTTTGGGTGCACTGCCTCAGCCCCTGGCACAGACATGGGCTGCTCACCTGCAACCTCATGGACAGGCTTACTTACACAATGCCAGATCCACACTTGTCGCACATGGGCAGCTTCTGGGCATTCCCGATCGATGAGGCCACCTTTGTGGTAGGGGCTTTGACGCTCCTAAATCCAGATGGTTTGGTGGGGTCTCCTGGGGGGTGGAAGGAGAGTGCTTCAGAGCATGTGAGATGCGTGGCTGGAGGCTGTTCCTCCCAAGCAGATGCTCTGCTGGGGGCAGGATATTCTTTAACCACAACTCTGAGGCAGGGATTCATGCATGGAAAGTGGGCAGGGATTTAGGGATGTGTGGGGAGGAAGGAGAGGAGGAACACAGCTGAACCTCGCCCTGAAAATGTGAGGGCTTGAGACGGTGGGCAGTCAGATGAGATTATTTTCTCATCTTAAAAGCCCATCAGACTTCAGCTGATGTGTCTCACATGCACAGATGCACAAAGCAAAGCAAAGCCTGAGCCTTGGCAGCACTGGAGTCTGCCTGATGTGTCCTGATCACACACTCAGGATCAAGCTGATTCCCAGATTTGAGCTCAGAAAGAGGTGGGTGTTCTGTTGGGAGGACTGTCAAAGCCCTTTTCCAGTCTGCTGTCTGTTTTACAATGGAGCTGCCAGGAGCAAGACTCCTGGAAGATTTGGTTAACAAACTCCTTCTTGCAGAGCCCTGGGACACCAGGGATAACCTTGCACTCCCCTGCTGCTGCACAGCATGCTCCAGATATCTCCCTATTGCAACTTCTCTGGGGCAGGGAATTCCTGCAGGGCCTTTGCAGGAGACATTGTGCTGACCTGGATGCCTAAATCAGCATGGATCCTTGATGCGGGATACGAGGCAAGCCTTTAAACATCTGCAGGGGAAAAGGAGCCTTTCATAAAATGACACCAATGATGGGACTAATCTCATCTAGATGACTTTTCTCAGGGGTTCAACACCATTTAACAAGGGAAGGAGGCTGCTGAGGCTCCCATGATATTTCACCAGAAACATCTTGGACTGTGAGGGACACTGATGAAACTATTCTGACCAGTGTCAAACCAAGAACACACTTCCAACGGGCACACCCAGCGCATGGGGTGGAAAAACCCTCCAAAGACACATCCTGGTGACCAGCCATGTCAGGTACTCACCACAGCCCAGGGCAGCATCACTGATAGAAGAGCTGAAGGAAAAAGGGGGAAACTGCCTACCTCAGCTGTGAGGCAGGTGATGCTGCACTGGTTTGCCTTTAGGGCAGCCTTCAGCTCAGAGGTTTGCACCCAGCTCTGTGCAGACACTGGTCCAGAGGTGCAAGTTCCTTAACCCACCAAACAAAGCCTGACCTCCAAGAGTTGCTGCAAGTGACGCTCACTGGGAAGCAAGCAGCAGCAATCACATTTTCAGACTCTTCCCTATCACTTCTGTTCACTCCCTTTGCCTCAACCAGCACTTTGTTCTTATCAGCAACATTGACAACACTTTTTAAAATCTCTCCTAATCACACACCCAGAGGAAATGTGGCATGTTCCACCCAGTGAAACACTTTTGAGTATAGGGTCAGGCCTTAACAGACCAGCCGTGGTGATTCCAAACACCCACACTCGTGGCTGTGCCCGGCCCAGGCTCTCAGCTGGTGAAAGTCAGCGCAGCCCACAGAGTCAGCGATGCCCCAAGGGCCTTGTCCCAGCCGGGCCTTGGCTCACAGCTGCCATTCACAATCCATTGCCTGGAGCCGGGCTGGGAGAAGGCGCCGTCCAATGTGCCATTTATCACACCAACGATCTGACTCGCGCAGTGTTTGTTTGCTGCTGGCCCAGCAGCACGGCGGGCTGGGCCATGGGGTATTGTCAGCTCACTGTGGAATAATGCCAGAGCCTATCCCGGCCCCGTGATGGGGCGGGCAAACCTTGTGCCAGAGAATCCCAACAATGCTGCAAAT